GAGACCCCTCCTTGGGTTTCCGAGGCAGTATCACTATGGAAGTAGATTGCCCCATCTTCCTTCTGAGGAGTGGCTGGTGGATTAGCAGTCAAGTGCCTTTAGACACTAACCCAAACCAAACCCACTGCTGTTGAATTGATTCTGACTCATAGGAACCCATCCTTGGGTTTCTGGGTATCACTATGGAAGTAGATTGCCCAACCTTTCTTCTGGTGGGTTTGAACTGCCAGCCTTCTGGTTAGCAGTCAAATGCCTTAGGCACTATGCTACCAGAGCTCCTACCAGAACAGAGAGTCCACAAAAAAGAAGAAGACCCTCAGGAAGATACAGTGGCTGCAACAATGGGCTCAACATAGCAATGACTGTGAGATGGAACAGTGCTGCGCAGTGTTTTATTCTGTTGTACGTGGGCCACCATAAGTTGAAACTCACTAGATAGCACCTAAAAACAATAGACCACCAGGGAGCATAGCATCTAGTTATACTTCCTGCTGATCTAAGAACACTTTATCTTTCTTTCCTGTGCCTAAGTTCCCCTCTAGGTAACCTGACAGGGACATCTGCCTTGCTGTTGTTGACTTCTCCCCACTGAGCCCAGTTTTGACACAGAAGTATTCCCATGGCCCGTAGCCTATGAACTTTCAGTCTTACCACTTCCAGGCAAGCATGTTTATTGTCAACTGCCAGGATTCATGAGAATTTTCTGACCCTAGATTCTCTGTGATGCACCGGCCAGCTGTTAGAGCCTTTTGAGATTGCCTTTTAACTAACTTCTTACACTAACCCCAGTCAGCCGCAGGGATCCAGGTGAGGAGAGAGAACCCAGGCATGCCCAAAGCAGCAGGGTGGGAGAGTGGGAGAAAGGGGATTAAAAGGCCCAGGAACCGGGACAGAGGAGCAGTCAGCCACAGAGACCCAGGTAAGGGTGATACGAGAGGTTTCCAACAGGGAGAAAAACTTGTCTGTCGGTTTGTCCTACCATGGTGACATGTTAATGTGAGTTTTGAGGCTGAGCCACTGGTGTTTCAAACCCAGCAGGATGCACATGGTACACAGGTATCAGCCCAGCTTACAGACTGAGACAGACTATGAAGAAGGAAGAGGCCATCCACTTCTCAAAGAATTGGCCAGGGAAAACCTTATGAATAGCAAAGAAACACTGT